TTCTGACAGGATAAACACAAAATCTGAAAACACTGATCAGAACAAGGGAGAGGTACTAACTTAGAGCTACTTGTATTAAAATATGATTGCAAGTGAAGCAGGGAAAGAAACAGAGTTATAGAAATAATTTCAAACTGATGCAAAACCATTCAATGAAAACCCGAAGATTTATGCAGCGGTAAAAAGAAAAAAATTGCACAAAACATTATTTTTGAAGGAGATGGCTGAACCTGTCTACACTTTCTTAAGGCTGCATTATCTATGCCAATTAAAATTTTGCTTCTGAAAAAGAGTTAAGGCACTTCCTCTAGAGTTACTAAAAAAAGCAAATGAAAGCCTTGGCTTCGCAGAGGTGAGCGATAGTGAGCCGTTTGTTCTTGACCTCTGGATCACCCTACAGATCAAATTCTTGGACATAGGAAAAACCCACTAGTATTCATTAAAAGCAACTGGGAGGCCAGCTTTGTGCTTCTGTTCTTGAGACCTGAACAAGCTACAACTTGACAAATGTGCAGGATACTGCTGAACAATGCTGCTGTTCCTGTCAGAAGGGAAGAGCTTTATTCCCAGCTTTATTCAGGATGAATTGATTTTCATCACAATGATGCAAATTGCAGATTTCAGTCATTATTTAAATAATCAATTTTAATCTTTTACATTTGTGCTTTTCACAGTTATTTCCATAAAGTTGATTCCGTTAACCATTAGAAAGCACTGATTTATATCAAATTAGCTTTTATATTAAACATTTTCTTCCCTTAAAAATATTCATCTATCCGTAGTTATCTAAACAAATATATATGCTGAAAGTCTTGGGTCTTCAGTTTTGCTTTTCATTCTGCTAGATACAGGTGGAATTTGCCCATGTATTTTTACAGCTAAAAATAATGTCAATGATTGCTCTATTAGATTATTTTATACTTATGGCTTGTGACATTTTTTGTGGAACTTTTATGGAGAACACAATTTTAAAATCTATAAATAAGCCTGTTGCCTCATTATTCACAAAATGAACTACTACAAATTTCTAGATATACAAAATGAAGTTTATCAGAAAACCTTTTCAAATATTTTTGTCTTTCAAAAAAACCCCAAAAAGCTACCTGTAGAGCTGAACAGCAGCACAAAAACAAAACAAAGAATATTCCCCCTGAACAAGTGCTTGTGTCAAAAAGCAGTTTAAAGAAATTCTGGCTCAAGTTAACAAGAGTTCTCTGGTGGCCTGAATGCTTTTAAAGCTTCATTAGAAAACAGACATTGCTAGAATATTTATATTCAAACATCTATAGCATACTATAGTAAATTCAGTCCTTGGCATGGATGAACAATTTCAAATATAATTCAAAATACCACATGTGTTTTAAAATAACAACATTTGAATTTAAATAAAACTTACACATATTAACTTATACATATTCAGCGCCCGAAGCTGCAGTAAAAACAGACTGTCTCTCCTTACCCTTTTACATATACATCAGTATGAGTTTTGCTTATGTATACTTCACAGAGGAAGTTTTAAGATTTAAAAATTCATATATTGGTTTTTGTTTTGTTGTTTTTTTTGTTTTGTTTTGTTTGTTTGTTTTTTCCCTGATCAATAAGTAGTCTCAATCTCAAAATTTCAAAGCAGAAAACATCTCCATTGGAATCTTCAGGAATTTTGACTGCATAAAGTATGAACTATCAGTCATTTTCCCACCAAACAAGCCAGGTTCATAAGGCAAACTCAGAAGGAAGAGAAAAGAGGGAAGTGTTTTTGTGGACTGTTACCTACAGACCAAATGGAAAATCTTCAGCCATTTTGCTCCTTCAAGGTACATCAAAGAATCTCCTCTTTAAGATGTGTAAATGTCAGTTACATTCTCCACCTCTGAAAATGAGAAGAGCTCTGAGCACAATTCATGTCCCACCCTCGCTCTTTTTTCTTTTAGGGGCTGATACTGTTTTCAACTCCCCTCCAGCTAATGCCATTTAATACTCTCAGAACCATCAGTCTAAATTCAAATTTTCTGCTCCTTAGAGGCTGTTGATATGCACCACCGCACATTCCAATTGCAAATACACATGAATGCTCCTGTGTATTTTAAGTTATTTTCTACATACAAATTCTACTAAATTGTAAGTTAGGAGGCACTACTTGAATTCTCTTAGGTCTTTAGAAAGCTTTCAGATGTACCATGAGTAATAACATGTAATGAATATGGACTGATATTTCTTTTCTGTAGTTACACTGAGTTGGCAATTTAAATTTTCTAAATAGATAGATGACTTATAGCCAGTTTTTCCCAGTCTTCTGGCAATTACTACTTAGGAACCCCTGACAGGCTGAAACCTCCAGAATCACAGCTGTTATTCTTGGTTTGATCCCTCTTTTTAAATTAAAACCAGTAGCTTTATCAGCAAATGAGAATTTTTTTCCCTCTGGAAATACTTACAAAAATGCACATAAATTGAACATGCCAACTTATTTCATTTTAGGGTTGGAGCATCTTCTGGGTTAATGACCAGTGTTCTACTTCTGTGACAGAACTAATTGGGGTAAGGAGGCCATAAACACATAAAAAAACCCCACAAATTCTCCTCCTTTGGGGTAATCTGAAGATTTATAGTAGTAAAGTGAGATGTGATTGGAGGGGAAGGAGAAAAATATTAAAAGTGCTAATAGGCTTGCCTGATCATTCTGTCTCACTTTCCAGGCATAGAACAGATCTGGAACAGATTTTTCCAGTATCTGATGTGACTTTTCCTTCCTCTCAGACCAATTAAAATGCAAGAAACCAGCTGAATTTTCACATTTTCCAGGAACTGTCATTATTAAAAAAAAAAAAAAAAAAAAAAGAAAAAAGTGAGAGAGAAAGAAAAGACACAGTATCTCTATCCCCTAAGCACAGACGAGCTGATCTAAGAAGTTGTATTCAAAATGACAGCCTCAAGTCTACATCAACAGTTGCTCAAAACATGCTTTGACAACAGTTTTTCACAGCTGAACACCAATGAAGTATCCTTCAAGAGAGAAGTCTGTATTTGGTTGGACTTCAGTGTGCCTTTCTAGCAAGCTAGCTTTATTTCCTATCGATCACTAATTGGAAAAATCCAGTTATCAATGGATCATATAGAGAAATAAAGATTTGTCTTCCACAACTAGGCCAGAATACATACGACATTCACTTGTTACGGTTAAAACAACTCAGTTCCCTGATGTAGCATCTCTTAATATCTGAAAACAAAAATTCCAAATCCATGCGTATACCTGCAAAATGAAAGAACTTCTAAATGCAGCTGGAGACAAAAGGATAACAGATTGCCATTATGGGTTCATGAGGCAAAAGAGGGGAAAAAAGATCACTACATTTTGCCAGTGGATATAAATGTAAATGTAAAGGCATAACAGACAGTTCTCCACTTCAGAATATGGAGCTCTCTCTTCCCCAGAATTGGATTGTACATTCTCCACATCTCTCCAGCAGCTCTGTTGCAAGGAGAGTTCAGGTAAACCTGCCCCAAATAATTCTGAAAGATGCCTACACTTTGTAATCATTGGATGCCTGCAGAATACAAGACCTCTGAGTCTGAGACATACATATGAAAGAAGTTGAACACAATCTTAATCTTAGCAGCTCACCTTCTAGCTCACACAGCCTGCAGCAAGTCTCAAATCCATCTCACCCTACCCAACACCTTATGTACCCCACCTTCTTCTATGTGTTATATGCTCCTATTACTAAAAAAATTACTTTGAAATGTCTTTAAGAGATGATTCCTATCCTGAATTAAGATCATCTTTCACAATTAGCTGATACTGAAGGATGTAGTGTTGTTGATTTTGTTCTAGCTAAGCAATGTCATGCTGGTTTAAACTACTAGCTAAAGGTTACGACTTAAAATAAATTAGTAGCTTAAGTCAAGAATGTGAGATACAGAGCTAGATCATAGTTTTCCAGCCAGCACTAATGTACACAATATGGCAAAAAAAAAGCACAGTCAGAAGTATCAACATGTGTGGTGGTATATGAATCACCAAGGCCCGTGGGACAAGTAAACGGTCAATAGAGATGAGATGAGATAAAGGGGAAAATTTCTAATATCTGTATAGGTTTGCCCCATTCTTTGGCTCAACCCCTACCAGTCCCCCTTCCTCTCCTACTTTCACCTTTAAAGCAAGCCTGACATCAAAAACATAAGTTAAAAGCTTATAGTAAACCCTTCTTATAGGTGAGCATAAATTAGCATCTAAGTACTTCAGCTGACAGTTGAGAACACCAGGTAGCATAATGATTATCACCATCACTGAAGTTCAGGTTTCTGGTAGAACCTGAAAGGACTGTGGCTGTTGTTAGCATGAGAATTTAAAACAAATGCTACCCAAGACTCCACCCAAAGATATCAAGCATCACAATTAAACAGCATGTAGAAAAAACAAGGAAGAGTCTCCTTCGTACAAAACTGGACAGCAATTTTTCATGTCTATGCTTGGCACAGGGGTGGAATGAGATCAAAACTGGTTTGAAATTTCGTTATCACAATTTTACAAGCAAAAGAAAACAATGCCTAGAACTGATCAGAAATAAGGCTTAAAGTACCTGCTGCCTTGTACCTTGTGATGTGCAGGTGTTAAATGCTACCACACTAATCTATTAGCACAGCAGACATAAATACCTACACAGCATAACATATAATGGAGCTTCCCTAATACATACTAAGATGCCACTGCAGTCAGTCCACAGGCACAGAGTGGATACTGAGTCCACAATTTTTTAAGTGCATTCAGCAGGCAGAATAGAAATAATTATAATTCTTTTTGTCTTATTTCACACACATGGCTAAACATAGCCCATTTATCCACCAAAAAAATGTGGCATTTGTTTTAGAGTGGTTTACAGATAAGTTCAATACTGTTCTGCGGAGCAACGCAACAAAGCAGCTTCATGCATTTTCAACAGGAATGATTCCTGCTGTGGTTCAAGTAATAAACAGCAAAGAAAGTTTAAAATGAGACTTACCATGGGGCACCATATATTCGGAATCCTTTAACTGTTACCTCTGAATCTTGTAAGTAAATACTATTTGTCAGGAGTGACTGAACATTGTCAAAGTCCTCTGGTTTCAATTTGGACACAGAGGGAAAGCGGTAGTAATCTTGTTTAACAAGGTCTGCCATGAATTCCTTATCAAATGTCAGTTCATGATTCCCAGCAATCACTATTTTATATTCATATGGTAGGTTTCCTGAAATAACAAAAAAGAGGACTTAATTAGCACATTTTCCTCCCACACCAGCATTGTCGGCACAATAAGTAGACAGCTAACAGTGACAGAATATAAAACTCAAGATCTGTGTGAATCTCCATGTTGAGCAGAAGTTATTAAATGCTGCTTCTCTTCCACTGAGTGAAACCGTGTTAAAATGTAAAGTAACATCACACAAAGCAATGTCATAATAAGAAGCGTGTACTGCAGAGTTAAACAAAGCAAGTTGGTAGGCACCAAACCAGCTCCAAAGGTGTCATAAACAACCACTGCTCCTTTCCTTTCAGCTGATGACATACTGGTTTAGTGTAGTCTAAAATGTGACCCCGAGTCCTACTCACTTAATTGATGGGACTGGGCCAGTGTCAGCAGTCCTAAGCCCCAGTCCACAGGAGTGACCTGCAGTGAGGTACATCAGGTGTCTGAGTAGATCAGAGACTGCAATATGCCTCAAGTCTTTTGTGAGGGGACTAGGCATGGGGTACTGAATTAGGCTGCTGGTGTTGCTGGGTTTTAAATTATGCCATCATTTGGATTAATCTGTGTTCAAGCAGCATTTATTCCAGACCTAGCCTGTTCTCCAAAGCTTCAATTCACTTGCAATGGACTTTCACTTTATTATTCAGTTTATGGTAGTATCTCATTTCTGTAAGAAGTACACATGTAGAAGAAACCATGAAACTCAGGCAAAAAGAAAATGTAGTTAATCTATTTACCGTGAAGGTCAAAGATAAAGAATACAGGCTTGATCACCCCAATTCAGGGCAACTATTCCCATTGTTTGGAAGGAGGCATGTATCAGACCCATGGAGACAGATTTTTGGATTTCAGAGACAGATTTTCAAGGACTTGGTACCAACAATCAGTGCCAGATCTTCCAAACAAACATACTGGGTGCTGAGCTCCCTTAAAAATATGGCCCTATCCTGTGGTGCCTTCACAGAAGGTAGGTTCTTTTACAAAGGCTGTCCCACTGTGACTTGCCAAAAATCACATATAAGTTTGCATCAAAGCTAACTTTTACTGCCTTCACCATAAGCATCGTTTCCTATCCTAGTCTTATACCAAATCATTCATTTTTGTGTTTATTCCTAATAATCATTTAGAAAAGGTTGGTTTTGTTGTTTTGGGGTTTTTTTCCATAAAGGCAGCAAAATGTATGTGGAAATCTATGGGTCCATCTTCCAGTTCTGGTACTCCCAACATCTGCCCCAAGGAACACAAAATTGGATGCTAGATATGTCTTATGACTACAGTTCTCCGAAGTAGATGTGACTTTGCTATTTTAAAATTCATCTTTCAACTTTCAAAACTGTTTGTGTTTCCGTTTTTTTTTTTTTTTTGGTTGGTTGGTTTTGTTTATTTGCTTTGTTGTTGTTTTGTTTTGTTTTGTTTTTTGTGTGTGTGTGTGTGTGTGGTTTTTTTTTTTAAGTAAGTTTCAAAGTAAAGCTGTAACTGTTTACACCAAGATTAACTTTCCCCTAAGTAATACTTACAGGGAACCAGTCAAAACTTTCTGCTTTTCAGTATTTACAGCACAGAAACAGGAATTACACAAGATACATATATAAGCATAATCTTTGCAAAATTAGTTAATTCTGGATAGAAAACCAAAAACCTAAAAATCCCCTGAAAAAAATGAGCAGACATCTTCATAGACACCTCACATCTGAACATAATGCAGATCATACATATTCATAACTCTCTGCGGTGCATTAGATTAAAAGCTGGGGGAGATGCAATAAATGCTCCTCTGTGGTTTATGCCTCACTCCTTTCCTTCTTCCTTCCCCTTCCCTATCTCTACTACATGCTGCTCTGCAATTCATTTTTATTTAAAAACTTGATGTGGCAGGTACCTACAATTCCTGCTTTCTGTGACTCCTGGGCACGAGGTAAAATTGCTATTTTCTCCTCTCTCAGGAAACATAAAAAGATACCACTGGCATGAAATTTGATACACTTGTCATAACTATCAATCCCCAAAAACAAGCTGGATGTGGTAAAATTCTCAGAGAAGTATGATGGAGAAGTTAAATTCAGGTTTCTGCCAAGTTATCAACATTCGCCAGTTTTAGCAGAGAAAACTTCTTATCTTACTGGATAAATATCCATGTTTTACACTTTCTCCCATTTATTGAGAGACTTGAAAATCGGCATTTTGTGGATATTATGTCCAATTAAGTCTGGAACATTTTTCCTTGAAGTCAATGTTTTTTTATCTTGATACCTTGAAAAAAAGGGCTTGCTTTGAAGACACACAGGGCATGAAAAGACAAATCAATGGTGGCATGAGTGATTATTAAAAAAAATATAAATGTAATATTATACATGTTACATAATCAGTTGAAATTAGTAAGGAAAACCAAACCGTATTTACTGCAGTTCGTGTCAAGACAGCCACTGATTTTACCAAGAGTAAGGAGGGGCTCTGCTTGTTCTGTTCTTGAGAGCCAGAAGGCATGGGGGAGCCAGGGAGGCCCTGGGAGAGAACAGCCTCTCCCCACTGCTGCCAGGGACATGGCCCCACCACTGAAACCTAAGGACCAACACCAGGACTGAGGAATGAGGCAAAATAGGCCCCTGAGGAGAAACTCCACAGGGACCAAAAGTGGCCAACATCCACCCATACGGTCTAGCTCAGCAGTACAGCACACCCGCAGGGTAACCAGCCCTGGCTCCACCTTGATGGAACGGCTGCAGGCCCAGGTCCCCCATCCAGCAACGTGATGAGATGTGCTTTGCTCCGTATGCGTGCACACTTTAATATCTAACACAGGATGGACGCCAAGGTCTGACCAGGCTCCATTTTGCCTTCCTTTTCCAGAGCTGTCTCAGAAGCGAGCGATGAGCAACACCCCTTGTCAAAATGCAAACACATCAAAAGCCAGGCCCAAGCAAAGGGGAGCAGCGAGAGGAAGTCTCATCAACTTCTTTCTTCCTCCCAGAGGAAACACTATACAGCACTAATCGCAGTAATAAATTACCTGCAATCAGATTAACTATTTATTCATCACATTCAGGTTTTCCCACCCTGAGAAGCCCTGTGGCAATGCACAACATTCATTCTTTCTGCTACGATTTCTGAAATACTTTGGCGTGTTTTCTTTTGGCAGTCCTGCCCTTTGTCTATAGTCTGCTGACCTTCTGTGTTTAATATGGAAGCATAAATAAAAATCTCATACTCCATGGTATTTTAGTTTCATCTTGACCAGATTAATCTCTGCAGATGTACATCCATGCTGTCTGTACAGAGACACTGTAAGACACTGTAGCACAATACACAGGTTGAAAGGTATTTCCTTATTTTCCTTTACTACATTTTTTTTTGTTTGTTTTGGTTTTATTAGTCTAATTTCCTAACTATAAAATTTTCCATCATGCATCAGTAGTATTATTAATTTTAATTTATACTGTGAATCTGGAAAACAGATATAAGGATAGCATTCCAAACTAGGAAAAGAGCTTAATGTGTTTGCTGGGATGAGAACTTCAGAAAACCCAAGTATCAACTCCCAGGGTAATAACTGAGTTTAATTTAAAAAATACTTAAATGTTTAACAGGTGAGATCAAAATCCTAAAATTACAGCTATTAAAAATTATTAGGGCACCAAGTTTGTGAAGTAGTCACTTATACTGGAATATTTGAAATCTTGTATATTTATGTGTATATACACGCACAGAGGGTGCATATGTATCTTCAATACGTATTTGTATTATCTTGGCTAAGATGTTTTTCAACATCTGCCCTCAACAGTAGAGAAGCAGGGCATGATCATTAAGAAAATATTGGAATTAGACAAGTTGTTCTCTTCTGGAAGACAAAAGGTCAGTATCACTCTTTCTCAAATAAAAGCAAAGATACCTAACTGTGAATAACTTGTAAAAACTAAATTGTGTATAGGAAATACATTAATCTGGGAGTCTCAGAAGATTTCTGTGACTTCTCATTTAACAAGCCAACCCTCAAGCTACAGTCTTTGTTCCCCAAGCAATCATCCTCACGCCTGCGCCACCATGCCTCTTTGCCAACACAGGGATTTGGTGGCCACAGAGCAAAGTAGATCAGCAAACTGATCCAGCTGAAAACTGATGTAGCAAAAAATGAATGAGGCGCTGTATACGATGGTAAGGCAGGACTTTTGCTGGCTGCAACTACTTACATGACTTTAAAGTGTTAGCTGAACAACAGCCTGACTTTTAATATACCTATTACAGGGGATGAGGGGGGAAGTTCGGAGGGGTGAGGGCTGGTTGGCTTTTTTTAATCTATGTAAGTAGCTGTTCCAGTGTTTTTTAAGTTCACCTTAAGTATTTGATCCTAGGAATCCTTAATCTGTTGAACAACCGTTCCTGTTTTAATGGCATGCTTCATATGAGTACAATTTAGTCACACAACCCAAGTTCTGTAGAGCTGCCAGACATGAAAAAGAGTCTGACTGGCAATGAATGTTAACTGCTGAGTCCCTATAAAAATAGAAAATCATATTATTTTTTGACTACTTTACCTACAAAACCCACAGGGAAGTAGAAGAATAAGAAATAGTGTGATACTAGCTGTCTGTATAGTGGTAGAAACCTGTATTTACATACAAATGTTATTCAAGTGCTTTTGATGTGAAGCTTTGAACATGCATACGCATGCATTAACTATTCAAACCACAGAACACTTCCATGAAATGTGAAGAGTTTTCATGCCCATTTCATAGCCTCATAGACCCTTTTGCCATATGTTGAGAGATGGGCTGAGAAACCTTGAATTACAAATCATAGTCCCTTCAAAAAGAGGGAAAATCTGTACAAGTGAGATGCCTGTGCAAGTCAATCATCTCCAACTTATGGTATGTTATATATGCTTCAAAAAATGCAAATCTGGTCATGGAGCATTCACCTATAATGAACCACATACAAGTCCAGAGATAAACACTGAAGGAGCAGATTCTGTGTCATCCCTATGGACTCGCAGTCCTGACAGCAGC